GAATTCCAAAGAATGCACTCTTGAAAATTATCCATTAACTAGGGGAATCAGATTTGTATATTTCTTGCATGTATTTGATAATCATTGATGTTAGAAAAATGGGGTAACTTGTTTAACTGAATTTTAACTACTAAAATGCATCAAAATGCAGGATTTTGGGTGCCCCCCCCCTACTTGGCTTTGATTATTTTCAGGATTTTTAGGAAAGAGACACTTTCATCTCTGCCCTAGTTATAGGCTTGAAAATATAATCTTTGCATTTTGGTTCAACTTGTTTCTGTACTTTTTAGATGATCCCTATTCCCCCCCTTTTAAATTAACAATTTTTGCTAATCTTGTTTCTTAAGTTTTTTTATGTCCATTTAAGCTACATATGTGCATATGTGTTCAGTTGAATGTTACATGTTTTTAACAGTGTACTGCTGCATTAGCTCTTTTTTTTTCCACCCATTCACCACACTGAACTTATTCAAAATATGTAAGAGATGTACAACAAAGAATAAGCACATGTACTAGTATGCATGTACAACAAACAAAATGTAAAATTATTTTCAATATATATATATATATATATATATATATAAAGGACCATCTTCAAGGCAAAGATTGTATCATCACATATTTAATGACCAGCTTCCATCATTTTCACAGTGTAATGCAGACTGGGATATATGAATAAGGTGTTGTCTAGACATTATCTCTTCTACAGCTTCTTGAACTGTTATGATGTTTAGGTTTTGATTATACTGTCATAGTTTTGGATACATTGACATTTTTCACTCCAGATGGTGCTATTCGTTCAATAAATATCATAGCTATTAGATCTATGTCAAGTTTTAGCATAAAATATTCACTTTCTTATTGAATATTCTCCAAAAATTATGTATTTTATTTAAAATTCTTTTCATCTTTCTTGAAGGAGTCATACTTTTGTCTGAAATGTTTTTGTTCAATCTTAGGTGCAAACAATTATCAGGAACCAGACAAGTATGGGAATGAGACATCGTGATCACTCCAATACAGGAAACATTTATAGAGGAGTTAGTAGTGGGTTAGCAACTTATTTTTTTGGTCATGATCACAAAAAGAAACTAACAGTGGAGAAATTTCTGGATTTTCAGAAACAGCTTCAGACAGAGATTCTTGCACTGGAAGTAAGGATTTTAACAGTCAAATGTATAACAGCAACATAAATCATTATAAATCATAAATTATTTATATCATCATCCCTTCTTCAGTAACTAACAAATTAAGTTTTGTTTATATTTTAGCACTATTTCTTGTTTCTTTAAATCCACATGTGACAAGTCATTGTAAGCTAGGTTTATCCTTGAGATTGCCAAAGACTTACCATAGAAGACTTTTGCAGGGACCATTAACATTTTTTTATTTAAAATTATTCATGCTTTGTCTTTGCTTTTCTTTTCTTTATCAAACACTTCTGAATATAGTTTGGAAATTCAGTCAGAAATGTTTATTTTAGCATTATTTATTAATTTGTTTTTCTAAAAGGATAAAGGTAGCTAGCCAGGTTTGATTCAAAAATTAATAGTAGTGACATAATTATTATTTAAGTCAAACTTTAATAACTGTTTAGAAGCAAATAGGTAAAAAACTTCTGAAAGATGTGATTGGCTTATTGTTGATGACTTACAATATTTCGGTCTAAAACAAGGATATGTGTATGTAAGTACATGTATATGTAATATTTTTGTTGACTTCCATGTGCAAACAATTTTCAGAAGTCAGATATAATTTTTTCTTTTAACCTTAACGAGAATGACGCTTAAACCCTAAATGGAACTGGTATTATTTTTATATATATACATAACATATTCAGAAATTATTTGATTTATTTATATATATATATATATATACATATTCAGGTATTATTTGATCTATATATATGTTTGGCATATTCAGGTTAAACTGTTTTCTGACTTCATTGTTCAGTCTTTTTAATTGAAAATACGTGTATGATATCCACATAGTTTGACCAATGTTCATAATAATCTTCAACATAAGTGGACCATAAAGACTAGTTCTGTTGGAAAATGCAGAAAGTACTTAAAACTAACCCATAAAGGACTAGTTAAGTTGGGAAGTGTAATTATTATATTGTTCTTCCTTAAAAAAAAAACTATTATTAGTATATGATACTTTTCTTCTCTTTGCTAGTTCATTTGTAAGACATTTCTTTGGGTATTTTAAGTTCAAGAGGAAAGAACCAAATGAGAAAGGATACATCAAGGAAGTTGACTTTGGTGACCTTTTGTTGACTTATGCTGGTCTATCTGACAAAAAACGAGCCCGTATGTTAAAGAGGGTTCGAAAGGAATTCAAGAATAGTTTGGAGGTATGTTACTAAACTAATTTATATGCTTACACATACTTATTTCTGAGAATCAATATGTGTAAAATAGGTACTTTAAATGTATGGGCAGTTATGTACTAGTTCTTTTTTTTATTGTAAAATACTTATTGTGACAAGTTTACCTGTTTTATTCATTTGCTCTATGAATAACTATTGAATCATCTATAAACTCTTTGGCACAAGTACAGCCTAGTGATTAATGTATTGAACTGATATCTGAGGTTCTTCGTTTTGTACTTTTAAAAATGTGTGGTTATCAGAGTGACAGTCAATCCTACTATTTAGTTTACAGTTCAAACATATCTTTATACTCATGAATTACATGTTTAGTCTACGAGTATCATTGTTTAAACGATATAAAATATATTAAGCAACAGATTTTTTTTGAAGGAGAGAGAAAAAAGTCAAGATCACTGGTAAAATTTATGGGAGGAGGTTAGCCTATACAAGTAAGCTTATTGTGCAGGTCACACGATCATAATTCAATAAGTATAATGATTGTCAAAACTTACTGTTTATTCTCTGACAAGGAGTGTACATAATTTTGATTTTGTTCGTTTAAGCTCTGAAAAATAGTGAGTTTAAAACTAGCCATAATTGAAATTATTATTAATAAAGATCACATTCTGTTGAATTAAGATGTGGAAAAGATAAAACTTAAACAAGTTTGTTCTAGTGACTTGTTTCAGTTTGATTCTTTACAGTTTCCCTTAAATGTTAATTTTTTTATTTAACGATAAGTTTGTGATATGTCACAAACTTATGATATGTCAATCAAACAAACCTAGTTGAAAGTCTGATGTATATATCAAGTGCGGTTGACAGATACCAATTACTCAAGCACTGAAAGTTCATGCAGAACTTTAAAACATTTTGAAACTCTTTTGTTCATTTGTAATATTAAGGTTTGGAAATTCTTGAAGAATGTTAAAAACAGAAAGATGTGACTAGAAACTTAGGGAAGAGTAAAAAGAGATCAGCCACTTTAAGAAGAAATTAACAAATATGCAAAACACTGTAGTAAATATTGTAGATGTGAAGGTCATAATTGTATCTACTGTCATGGAAGGACAAGTTTTAAAATATAGTGATAGTGGAAACTACTGAAGTCAGGCTTTTAGCTGTTCAGAAAACAATAGTTATCAAGTTTTTCACTGTGCAAAGTGTTCTATATTGCAAGTCAGCATGGACTGATCATTAAGAACCAGTGACCTCAGGTTTATGGCTATATCAAGAAACTACAGGTTTGAAGTTTTCCATAGTGTAAAGAACCAAAGATTGAAAGGTTGTTACAGTTCAGAAAGATGCTGATTGCAAAGTTAATGCAACTGTAGGAAGCCAGATAAAGAACTTGGAAAACAGTATGGCCCAGTTGTAGGTAAAATCAGCAATCTTGAGAGTATATGGCTAAAAATTTCAACCAAGGTCTTTTACAATTGTTATTACCATGCTTCATAGATCAACAACATCTGTGTAGCCTAAGCAACAAAAATAATTCTAATCGTAAACATTTTATTTTCACTGTAAAATGTTAGATTGCTGGACGAGCCAGTTGTTAGAATATTGTAAAAAATAGTTGTTCTCTTAATTAATGAGTTGAGATTTTAACTTCAGTGTATTTATGAAAACTCTTAAAACTTTAAACTGTTCTTTAGAAGTCAGATATTTTATCATTCTGGATTGTAAAAGTTAAAATATAGTTTGAGGTTGTAATATTGATACAGAACATTTATACTATGATTTCAGTTGTAAGCTATTTGTTCATTGGCTAACTATTTCTAACCGTGTCTACCTTGTAATTACTAAAACAGAATTGTGACATTTATAGACAAATGTGGAATTAGTAATAATAAAAACTGATATATCTCAAATAAAATGAATAGTAAATCAAAAATAGTTAAAAATGATATGATTAGAAATAAAAACAAACACATGAAACATTGAACTTTGTGTAAGAGTTTGGTTTTAACCATGTACCATTTTATCTGTTTTAATATTGCTATTGTGGAAACAGTATGTTTCTGAAAAGTATTGATGTTTTGCTGATTTTTTACTGGACTAATACTTATGTAAAAATGAAAACTAAAGCCATTTATAAAATCCAAGAATTTATAACAAGAACTATGCTGTCTTATAATGAAATTAAATATTCTGAAAAAGTTGCATCTGGTGTTTATTATATATTTAGAATAGTAGTATATGGACATCTATTTCTCAAGTTTCTAACTTGAAGTTAAATAAAACCTGGTTTAGGGTTAGATTTAGATAAATTGCATTGGACTATATTATCTAACACTCGGTTTAACCCAGTTTAGTGTATGACATTTAGATATAAAGCAAGTATTGTGTTTTATGTTGTGTAATTAAATAAAATGTTATAAACATATTGTAGTTTTTATAAAGTAAGTGGTCTTCATATTTGTTTTGTGTTATGAAATAGCTGTTATCTAGAGCTCAAGAAGATATATATTAATTTGATTATGTTTTAAGTATTATAACAAAAAATTGACTATGTAGTGTTTGTCTAACTTAGAACATGGTTTTCTCTAGGGCATCTCACTTCAGGACTATTTGAATTTCTTTCACTTTTTGAACAACATTAATGATGTAGACACCGCATTGACTTTTTATCATGTTGCTGGAGCATCAATTGAACAAGGTTAGTTGTAGAATAGTACTTGAAGTCTGTCTCTATAAGAAAAAAGACCGAAAATAAGACACACAAAATAAGGTATTTGTCATTCTTTTTTACAACAGGTGCAAAAATTATTAACTAATTAGAAGATAACACTACTCTGCAGTAAATATCAGAAGAGAAAGATTTTTAGTTTAATAGCTAAATCCTAGCTATTAAATGGTATTTTTAGTTTTACGATTGACAAGAAGACTTGTAAGAATTAAAACATCCAAATCTTTTGATAAAGATAGCATATATATATATATTGCTAGTATATCTTTTCGATAATATGTTGAGTTACTTGAATATTTTATGGGAGTGTAAAGGTGTTTTTTTTTTTCTTTCAGCTACCTTGAAGCATGTTGCTCGAACAGTAGCCCACGTTGATATTCGTGACCATGTCATCAATGTGGTCTTTACCCTTTTTGATGAAAACAGTTAAGTAGAACTTAAGAATAAAATAAATGCTTCCAATTTATAGTGATATCAAAGTAGACGATAATAGTAATATAAACAGTATAGCAAAAGCATCTTGTAACTATTATCCAAGTTTAAGTTAACATGATGCAAGTGATTGCTAACAATGTATGAACATTTTCAACAAAAAATTTAAACTTATGTTAACATTAACCAGTTTTTCTGTTTTCAAAATATTTCTTACGACACGTGAAGAAAAAGATTTAATGTTGTATTCTCACAGAAAAATAAAACACTGATTTTATTTTAAACATTGATAGAATATAAATTATTTTCTGTTTTGTTTGTAATTAGTTAGTCCTCCAAAATAATTTAAAGTAACAGTTCATTATATAAGCAGCTTTACAAGGCCACATTTTTTGGGAAATCTGAGGCATATAGTTACATCTAATCAAGTTATTTGAATGCTTTTATACAAATGTTTCATTTTAGAACTAGTTATTTTAACACCACGTACAAAAAAGAACATTTAAACATCTGTTGATACAGAAGGAGAAATAGATAGTCAAAAGGTGTAAAGTGAAATTTTCTTCATGCTTATGTTCTCTTTGTTGATAAATCTAACCATATGGTAAATGAAAGAAGAATTTTAAAAAACTTGGTACACTTCTAAACATTGGTTCAGTATGGGGAAGTGGTTACCATCCACTGGTCCACAGGCAGATTTCAGCTAGTTTGATAGATAGTTGAAAAAAAAAAAGATTCAAAATATAGCTACCGAAGTATATTGTTTTACAATATAATTTAAAAGTACTTTAAAAAATTAACATTGTATGAAGCGGTCTGTGAAATGTTTTGCCAGAATTAGCTAATCCTCAGAAAATAGATTGGGAACTACTGGTCTAGGGAACACAATTAATATGAAGTAAGTCTAATATTCAGTTTTTATACATTAATTTTGTACTGGCCACTAAAGGCATAAACTTGATGCATTCAAATCAGTGGTCCTATTAGTTTCTTAATAAATTAAAACTAGTGTGGTGTAGTGGTTAGAAATGACAATTTTTGGCTATACCCATTATCGAACCACATTGTTGATTTCATTTCAGCTGCTGAGGTTCTGCGGTTCTTGTCCCATTACCACAAAAATATAATAAGTATGTTCTGCACTTTGGGACCATAGGTGTGTGTGTGTGTTATAAGAGTGATGGTTAAATCCCACTATTCTCTTTGACAAGAGGAGCTCAAAAGTTGGCAGTGGGTGTTCTTGGCTATCTGCCCTCCATCTAGTCTATCAGTTCAAAATTAGAGGTGACTAGTGCCAATAACACCCGAGTAGCTTTACACAAAATCAACTAAAAAAATCTTTTCAACTGCTTCTTTTAATTTCCTTTTATCAAACAGTTTAAAATTTATTTGAAACACATAAGATAGTGTTTCATTATTAGCATCTGTTTATAGCATTTACCATTTAATTTATAAGGCAGTCTAAAAGCCCAAGGAGACTTGTATTTACTCTAGCTTTGAATACATGTAATATTTTTATCAATGATACACTGTTTTAAGTACGTGTAAATTTGTAATGTTTTTTCTGATTACAAAGTGGTGATGCCAGTTTCTACAAGTGAATATGTATGAATACGGGCACATTATTGGATTGAGTTGATATCCTTGCTTTGCACATATGTTGATGATTTATAGAGCTGATTAAATCTAAAAATCTGTTTCAAGTTCGGACAAAATTTTCCCTTTCAGTTGTTTATATTCACTTGAATTGTAGATTTTTGCACATTTGATTTAATATATGTTAAGTGTATGTTAAGAATTAATTAGAGAGAAACTTGATAATAAAAGGAGATTCATTAATGATGATGTATTCTTAGACACAATGTAACATATAAAATCATGAATTATAAAAGTGTACCCTACTCTGCAATAAAAAAAACAACAGTTGTTGATCGATATTTAACTACTTGCATGTGGGATGTATACATTAACTTGTCATCATGTAGTGTGAATAGGTTAAGAAAATATGGATGATATTGTTAGGTACCAGATTTTGCTACACTGCCAAAAATGTTGTTATAAAAATGTGTTTCATACTAGTCTTAAACACTGGGAATTGAATTTTTTAAAAGAAACACACTACATTTCAATTAAATCTTATGGTTTTTAGACTTATAATCAGTGTTTTTGTGTATCTACACACATACTTGCTGACATGAAACCTTTTCTATACATTTGAAATTCTCTGTTCTTGAATTCATTAATGTTTGCAGTTCCTGTATATTATTCTATGAATTTTTAATTTAGGTGGTGCATATTTCTGAATAAAGCTGTTTTAGTACAATTTTGAATGAAATAGAAAATATTTGTTTCATTCTTGCGTAAGAGTACTCTTTTACTTTTTATTTATTTACTTTCAGTGGATGGACAGCTGAGTAACAGAGAGTTTGTGTCTGTAATGAAAGAGCGTCTTTATCGTGGTCTTGAGAAACCCAAAGATACTGGCTTTTTCAAATTGATAAACTCTGTGATGAAGTGTGCTCGTTTGAAGAAACCTGTTCTCTTAGATATGTAGCCATATTCTAGTCAATTGGTCTCATTATCTTTAAAAAACAAATATAATTGGAGTTGCAAAACCATTTTTACATTTAGGTAGTTTTTGCTTTCCCTAAACTTTTATCTTTTTTTTGTGTGTTGTATGGCATAGGTAAAAAGTGAAAATGTATATTGCATTATAAATTTGATAGTGACAAAAATCTAAAATATGTTAAATATTTCTACATATAACCTTAAATATTTTAAATAAAAGAGTAAAAAATAATGATGAGATCCTATTAGATGGATTTTCTCCTTCATCACACAACAACTTATTGAAAGGGGATAATGTTTACTCACTAAAATTTGCCTGTCTTATGATTATGTCACAAGTTGTTTACCATGGTGCCTTGTGAGTATAGTGAGTGGGGGGTGGGGGTTTAGCACAGCCATATTGTTTTCTTAATAAATACAATGAAAAGTATGGGTAAGCAGTTGTGTTGAAAACCAGTTGTTGTGTGCGATTTTGTCCTGCAGATTTAAAGAGACATAAAGGTATTGGTTATTATACGATATTAAATGATAAAAAACATAGGGCACTACGGACAGAACTTACTAGGAATAAAGCACTTAAAACAGAATCAAAATGGATGTATATAATGCAGTTTACACTTCTTAAACGACAAGAAGATGTATGATGGGAAAAATCCTTATGCATTTCTATGAGCATGGATGAAAGAATGGTCAGAAGCTGTGATCCAGTATAATGAAAGAATTAAAACTGGGGTTGAAGATCTTAGTTATACTGTGCACTTCTGTTTGATACCAAATAAAACAACAAAATCAATAGAAACAAAGAAAGAAAGAAAGCAAGAAGATGTGATGCTTCTTCAAGTGGATGTAGGCCTATCTACATTCATGATGAGATTCCTTATGATAAACATGCCACAAAAAAGATTTAAACGTGAAGATCCAGTGCCATTTGTGAATGTGAGTATATCCTTAATGTATTAATTTTTTTTACTGTAAATCATGTGTTACAGTTTGAAAATACTCCAGAATTTTATCCACACATCAGTTTTAATTGGTTTTTGCATTATTGTTCTATATTATGCTCAGTTAATTAATAGTGAATTATCATGTATTCTAAAAACATTTGACTAGTATAGTTAATGTAAGGTAAACAGCTAGATCCAAACTAATTAGTTTTGATTTAGAGGATACAAATTTTCAGATGAATCATTAAAAAAAACCATTTTGCTTTACAGTCATCTGCTACAAAAGGTTTAAGTGAGTACAGTGCCCCAGTCACACAGTTAGAAGAGGTACAAGTCAGTTGTGTAGTTCAATCTGGAAATAAGAATGTAAATACTACAGTTTCTTTACTTAATCCTTTGCATGTGGGCACAGTAAATTTGACCTACTTTGTAACCACCATATAACCATGAAACTACATATTTTAACTCTGAATGTACTTAGTGTATCTTCACAAAATGTGGTAAGTTTTTTAGTAAACATTACAAGTCTTTTATAAATAAAAAATCAGAGTTAAAAAAATTTTTTACTGAACATTTGTCTGTGAACTTGCAAAGCCTTTACTAGATCAGTCTGAGTAAAAGGTGATTTTCATGCTGAAAATAAAAATACTTTTTTCATCTTGCAGTTTTCATTTTCATAATATCTAGAACTCTTTAATGAATATCAGAAGTTTGTTTTTGTAAAACTTTATACTTTATCTGTTATTTTCTTTATCTTAACACAAACTGTAGTGAAATTATCGATCTGATCTACTGTGAAATTAAAGTTGAAAATATGAATTATAATCAAAAATGCTTTCTTTTTTTCTCTCTATAATGGCTGCAGATTGTAACCACAATTACAATTATTTGTCCTAACAGCTTCAGCATCTAAGCTTTTATCATTGCTTCATCTACTTTTATGGTTTTATTGTACTTTTAACATTTCTTTGTACATGAAAAGCAATAAATTTTCAGTGGGACAGCTTAGGGTAAACAGATGGATCAGATTACATCATGTAACCTCAAATTGCATGCTTTCACTGAGTGATCAAGAGAATTTTTTTAAATTTAAATTTAGGTATGTAACCTAAAAAATTTATAATTTTCACGTTTTAATTAATAGTGTTAAAAATATATAGCAATAAATTAAAAATATACTTAACAATAAATTTACCACTTTAGTCTCAAGGCTTTTTGCACTATGGTGCCATGAATAGTAATCCTATTTTTTCCCACTGTGTTGATTGTTCAAAAAAATAATTCATGACACTTTAAATGTGCATTTTAGAACACAAAAATATATATCAAGCACTGGAATACAGTGTTCCAAAAGTACTATAAGTTACCTGGTTTTCTAAAAAAAACTATATAAGTAGGTTAAAAGATTGCATTACTGCTAAGAGCAGTGACTTTACTCATCAGGAGTCGAGCTTTTCTTGTGAAATGTCATTTGTGACCACCAATTATAAACAGACAATCATTAGGTTTGTGTATTTCAGAATATGCTCTTTCAGTTGGTTATAAATATGTCTTGCATAGTTATGCATGAGTAAATGTTTTCAGATGGATGAAAAGATGGGAAGGGCTTTTCTGGTGGGTTTTACAAATTTATTGGTACCTCAGCAAATCAAAAAGATAGAAGTTTCACTATTTTTATTTTTTCTTGTCAATATGTTTAGTTTGTGTTTCTAATTTTTTAGGAACTGCAGATGTTGTATTGTTCAAATTCAATGCGAGAGATCAGTGTCTAGAAATGTCACATGACAGTGAAGATTTTGAATTTTTTAAAGTATTTCATTTTGAAACTAAGGAATTAAAACTTAGGAAATATTAAATTTGAATTATAAACTTCATTTTAATGCCAAGTTTATTGAATACATTGATAATAAATTTGTTTAGTTAAACTTTGAATGTAACTGTAAAAAGATTTGTGACATGCAGACTTTGATCCACTCCTATGTATAGCGTAACTGACTGTTAAAATATTTGAAAAAAAACTAGTAATTAACATGAATGAAAAATATAAGACTAAATGTTAGGTTGTGAAATATAAATGTTTTAAAGAATTCTGTTTGATATAATGTCAGTTACATAATTGTATTTATTGTATTAAATTTGCTTGAATGTATTCAAATAACAATTTTATTAACAATTTCAGGCATATTGCAGTACAACAAGTATTCCAGTGAGTGATAAATAGCAAGGACTTTTGGCTAACATGAAAGAAAATGTTAAATCTTATGACACATCCAATGTTGGTACGTTACAACAATTGCTTCAAGTAGTCATGAAACTCTTACCAAATATCAAAGAACAATAAGAAACACCTTCTTTGCATAGAAATGAAGATAAATTGACACTACTGAGATTTTCTGGCTGTGATGATGATGATGATATTATATTTTGAACTGGATTTTGTTCTTATGATCCACTTATTGCATTTTATACAAATATTCTGGAACCACAGGCATATAATTTGAATTACTAGGGTTCTGATAATTTATACAGTTTGATTATAAATGTGGACCCAAAAGGAAGCTACAGTCAGTTGATATTTTTTTACCTTAATTAAATTAAAACAGACATAAAAACTTGGTTGAAAGATTAAAAATCAGAGAGGAGAAGATGTCTAGGGTGTTTGTAACAAGGATGAATTTCAAGTGTTGTGTACTTGAAACACTAGATACTTATGTATCAAAGTCAAAAGTTAAGGAATACATGCCATAATGTTTTAAAGGGCTTTACAAAAATGTGCAGGTTGTAATTGATTGTACTGAAGTACAAATTGAATTATTCTCAGACTTTTAAGATCAAGGTGTGACATTTTCAAATTATAAGCACTGTAATACTCTCAACAGTTTCATTGGTATAAACTTGTCAAATGTGCCAACATTTGCAATGAACTCTTTGAAGGTAATTTTAGTGATAACTAGTTATTCTTTAATAGTCATCTTATTGAACAGTTAACTGTATACAATGCAGCTATGACTGATAGGGGTATTACCTGCAGGGAAATACTTGATAAAAAAAACAAAATAGATCAAGTTGATTACACCCCACTTTTTAAGTGGCAAAAACTGATGGGTAATCTCAAACAGTGGAATTACTTGGCTAAGAACATTGTTTACCATTTTGGAGCCCCCCCAGTGGCACATTGGTATGTCTGCAGACTTACAACGCCAAAAACCGGGTTTTGATACCCATGGTGGGCGGAGCGCAGATAGCCCATTGTGTAACTTTGTGTTTAACTTCAAAAAATTCAGTTACTTGAATATCCAGTGTTGCTTTGGCCACCTTTACTTGATGATTTACTTGAGTGAGAGTAATAAACATTACAATTTATTAGTGTATGATATGTAGAATTGTGTTTTCAGTTTTAAACATTTATTGCAGATTAAATGCAACACATTTCTTTCAGACATGACAAAACTGAGCATGCCTGTTATTGTATGTCTAAAAACTGTGACACGTCTTTAACTTTAATCTTTTTATCTTACTTTTTTGTAGAATATAACACTACATATTTACTTGACGATTCACATGAGTGAGAATAATAAAAGGTTAAATATCTAAAGATAATTGTTCTAAATTAACCACAATATAAATCACTGACTTTAATTCATAGTAGTCATTGAGTTCTATCCAAATATGAAAGTAATCTATTCACAGTAATTTTTCTTATAATTTTTTTTGCAAATGATCTTAACATACATCAAATGATCAAGTATGAAAACAGATGTAAAATCAAGCATACTAGATCAAGTCAGTTGTGAAAAAATATGATATGTAGAAACATGAGAATTATGAACTACTAGAACAGTTAAATACATGTCATGAAACTTCAGTACATTTGGCTTTGATGTCTGCCAAAAACATCAAAATCTACACGTATAGCAGAAACATTAAGCTCTGAAGAAGTATAGCTCACAAAGTCACTTGTTCTGTTTGTTATAGCCATCTGCATGTGTACTTGGTAAAAATATTTATGCCTTTCCTTCAATTAAGAGCCATTAGATCCTGATTTTAATGGAAGTGCTGACGTAGTGTGTTTATAGGTTATTGCATCCTCATGAAACATACTTCTACATGAATACAAACATTTCATTTCAGCTAGGCCATTAGAATCCTGTTCAAATTCATCCCACACCAGTTTCCCAGGACTAGCTGCTAGTTCACCATAGCTTAAGTCAATTATAACTTTACCTTTAACTGTCACTAGGGGTTAATGAAACAGTTCAGTAACAAATCTGTACATTCATATTTACTCATGGTGCTCAGAGCTGCTTAATGTTTCTACATACTGTAATTGTGAAATACTTTTAAATTATTTTTTCCGTTTCATTCTAAATATTGAATTTTAAGGTACTATTAAGTTTTCTTACTATTAAATTAGTTCTTAAATTTTGTTACATTTTCAGGAATGTTGAAATAACAGAATTACAGTAATATAAGACTCAAAACAGTGAAGAAGATATAAAATATAGTCAGTATTTTTTGTTATCTTTAATTTGATTGAAACTAATTCTTCAGGGCTTCTGAAAAGATGTGAAGGTTTACAATTCTCTCTATTTTCTTCACTTTCACTTGCAGTGTCTGTGCTTGAATTTAGGGTTTAAAGTAATCCAATTTTATGTTTTTCTTACTTTCTTTTCTTGGGCCTGATTTTAATGTGTCAAATTTGATTTCACTTGGGATTTTTCTATCACCAAAACTTCCATGGTGACCTAAAAAATAACAATACATAATAGAATAAAAGCTTTCAAAATTTTTCTTAGTCTAGGTATAATGTTGCTTTATTAGCACCAAGTCCTTGAGTGGAATGGTTAAACTTTCATGTTACTAATCAAACCAAAAAAAAACTTAATTGTAAAAACACATCCAGATTTATATCATTTTAGCTCATATATCCACTAACAAACACTGTCAGATAAAGTGATTCAGTTTCTGCTTTAAAACATTACTTGGTTTGATCTTTGTCTGCTAATTTACACAGCCTACCATAACACAAGACTAGTTTTGATGCAAATAGTGATGAACTAACTTCTATATAAAGTAATCATTGTTCCAGTTCCTGGGGAGAATTATATTTAGTTATTGATTATGGCAAAATAGCTATCCATAACATATCTTTATCATAATCTCTCAACACTGTCCATTGCTGCTGCATTTTTCTACCCATTCATCGAGCTCACAATGCAACTCATTAAACACTGTGTGACATAATCAGGTCAATGGATAATTTTTATTCAAAAATGAGTGTTTATACAACATAAATTCTCCTTATAAAATGATAAAGTGATTTTTACAACTTTTCTAATATCAGAAGGAATGACTAGATATAAATAAACAAGGAGTGAGAAAAATGTATCAGTGACTGATATGGAACTGTTGAGTTTAGTGATTAACGATTTCTTTATGTTATGGATCATCTTACAGTTACTGATTATGTTTTTCAAACATTGAAAGGAGTCAGTATTTAATATATTTATTATCTGCATCAAATCATGACACATAAAGACCTATGGAATATCTTCATGTTGAGGAGACAGACCTCTAAAAGACGTAATTAAAAAATAATTTATATGACTTCATGGAACTTATTTAATTATAGGCTTGATGTAATAAGAAAGAATTAGCTTAAGATTAGTTCATTATTAAAAGGAAAAAACAAAACCTAGAAAATCATTAAAAAAATTAAAGTTGCAAGTGCAAATTTCAATCTTAAATAGGTTATTTAAGCCAAAATATCTTTCTTTCCGTAAAGTATATTCATTTAATTTCTTGATCATACTTCTTTTTTTTTCTTTCTTTTTTTAATATTGTCATAAAAGAATTCACCTGCATTAAGAAAGGAAAGGGCAGAGTGAAAAACCATAAACTGTTACCTGTTTATCTAAAAAATAGCATCACAATATTTTTTATAAAGTAATATTTAGGAAGTTTTTAAATGTGAAATTGTTATGTATTTTATCCAAAATACTTTAAATTACACCTAGAACTGTACTCCAGTCTTTTTTTTTGTTTCTTTGTAACAGTCTGGATATATCTATTTATTAAACTGTGCATATTGCAGAATTATATTGAATTGTTGAAATATATCATTAATAACCTTCAATTCAGGTTTGTTATGATGACAGCAATAGGATAATTATTAATCTCATAGCTATTTCTTTTGATGAACATAACCAAAGATATTATTTTGTAATGTAATTCTACAAGTTATTGTTGCCACCCAATTGTTTATTTGATATGCTGGAATGTGAATTATAACATTCAGTACTATACTTTTACTTGGTTATTGTATTAAACTGTTTTTAATGTAAAAATACAAAGCTAACTTATTATTTTGTAATGTGTTTGTTGTAGCAATTCCTTTGTTTCTTTGCAAGGGCCACTTAACTGAGCTCTTGTAATTTAATTTAGTAATATTTGGTGGATTGTTTTTATAGTATAATCATTATCTTTTATTTTGGAGTATAGCATTTGATTAATTTGTATTTTTAATTCAAGATCTAAAATATAACATACAGTTTTGGGTTTGGCCAACAACCTAAGTGTGTATGTAAATCTTTCTTTTATTGATACAACTTTGAGTTTAGTCATGAATTCATGTTATGATTATATGAATATTTCACTATGTAACTATGGCTTTTTTTTGCAAACTATAAGTTTGTTAATGTCGGTTGTTAATATATATATATATATATACATACTGTAAAAATGGTTTCAAACTTAAGCTTTTAGGTAATTTAATTTAGTAATATTTGGTGGATTGTTTTTATAGTATAATCATTGTGGTTAATGTACATAAGCGTAAGTCTTAAAATGGTTAGCTAATTAAAAATATGTAGTCTTATTGCTGTTATAATGGTTAAGAATGAAAAGTGTCATTAGATTTTTTGATTAATGGAGGAAATCAGTTCTTAATATAACATGCTTTGGAAAAGAAACGATTACGGTTGTAATTTTAAGTTACTGTGTTGATAAAACAAAAATAATCCCCGAGTAATATTGTGAATTTCAAGAGTAAAAGTTGTATGAAAGTTTCACTAATCTGACTATGTAGGTAAAATGCTATTTTTTTATTATTCAGTATACTTCTAAAAGGTATGTTATTACATATTTTTAATTAAGATATACGTTTTCAAAATTGTGGAAAGTGTTTGAAACTAATTTTAAACATGCATATTTAAATTGAATAACTCTAGTAAGAATGAAGAAGGTAATAAAAGTAAGGATGAAAAAAACGTTTTTATGTGTTATATAAAACGTGCTTCTGACGTTTTCGAAAAATACGAACCTATAAAAGAAAATTCATGACCCAATCGTAACTGATTTATACCGGAAATTAAAAGGTCACAATTGATAGGCAACTGTCGCAATTCTTGCTTACTTTGTGATGATGAGTAACAAACTGGAGGCTTAGTGGTAAAGTTACAAGTTTTCCAAGAATAACACCAGAAAAAAAATTAAGCACACGATTATTTCTTTCTTCAAAGAACACCGACCATCAGTAAAAACATTCACCAACCTACTGTTTATAAAATCTCATAAGAAGGACTTTTGCAAATTAATATCATGTGGACCTGCAAAGTATATATAAAATCCCCATAAAAGATGTAAAAATAAAAAGGTGTAAACCTCTGTAGCGTCATATTTCAAAAGAAAAAAAGCTAATAGTAGAAAACATGCTAGCTATAGATGAGTTTATGGTTATCAAGATGACCTTATATGATTCATGTAATAATATTATGACGAAGATTTTTCCAACTAAGGCGTTTTCTTTTTACCTCATATTCGTAGTGTTTTTTGTTTGTCTCTGCTCCGTGTTCTTGTTGAATGATTATTTCCAGCAGGGGTATACACTCAAGCAGAAGAAGAACAATATCCATTTATTTACAAATCATACAGTACCTACAAACTAGCAACGACGGGTCAACTACGACTGGCTAAATCCAAAAAAAATATGGTAGTAATTTCGATTTAAAGCGTTTGACCCTAAACTGAAAGTTTACTGTAGAAAGTCAATCCTAAATTACTTCCAGTAATAAAAAGATCGTGATCGTGACAGGGATAATACAGCTATAGAGGCGGAGGTTTTGTTAACTGTCAAGAAAATCTAGTGAGACCAATCCAGTGACTAGTTTCAGGATAAACCTAAATAGTAGTAACTGTATAGATTTGTGAAAAAATATTATTGTTATTAGAAAATAAAATAGTGTAAGGAACCAACACAGTCAGTGTGTTATTGCTCTTATGCTTTGATAAGAGATTTTATAAATTTAACAACGGAAAATGTTGAGAAATATTTGTAGATTGTTTATTGTGACAGTTTTTGCCGTTTAATATTTACATTTGCGACGCGCCGAAAGTGTGCTTTTAAAGAATGGAGACTTCGTACTGTTTTTTGAAAGTATTCTCATGTACTTTGTAAAGTTTAGACATACCTCGAAATCACCATATTTTAAATGCTATAGTTTTAAGTCATAGTTGCAGACAAGTTCAGGACAGGCTGATTTAAAATGGAAACCAAACACTGGTTTTTATCTCACATATGTGGTGTAGTATTTTTTCAACAAATATGGGAGAACAACTTTTAAGACGTTGCAACCTATGTAATAATTGAGATTGTGTCAAAAACTTAAGAAATAGTAAGTAATAATAATGATTTAGTAATAAAATAAGCACAATAGTATAGTCATGAGTATATTTAATCCATTTTTTGTATTTATCTGTTCTCCGAGGTTAGTATCCCCGCGGTGAACAGAGTGCAAACAGCCTAATATGTAGCTTTGAACTAAGAAAATAACAACTTTTATTTGTTAAAAACTTTCTAATCTAAAAAGGTTTATCTACGATAGCTCTGAACTTCATAGATTAAAGGATTTGTGATCGATTTTTGTGCAGCAATTTAATATTAAGGGACTTTTATAACACGCTGTCACAAAATGATTTTCAAAAATATAACCTCTTGGCCAAGATATAGCGATAATCGTCGATATTTAAATGAATTTCCGTAAGTCAGGTGAGCTAATATGGAGATTGCTACGTAAAGAGCTGAGATTGTCATCCTGCATTGACTCCAGCTTGTTTTGGGGTAAAAGTAGAGACTGAATTCGAAGATGTATGTGATAATAAACTAGGGGGTAGGTGGTACATGTCCCCCCAGATAATTTATAATCAACAGGCTATATAAAACATATAATTACACAGTTTTATTACTGTGGCAGTATTTTTAAAGCCAAATAAATATCATAGATAGTGGCATTATATTTGGCTGGTCTAATCACATATCATAATGAATCAACGTGCATGAAATTTCATCCTTCTGAAACAAGATATTATTAACTTGTTGTCGTTCATAAAACCAAGCTACTATTGACTCTGTTCTGGATCATGAATAATATATTTTTTGCAATAATTTTCTTTCAAAAAATTGAATTAAACTCCTCGAGATTATTTATAAAACGTATTCTAATGTTGACTGTTTTTTTTTTTTAGCAAATCCGGATTATGGTTATAGCAGCCCATTTTACACTGATTCCCGTTCATAATTTGTTGTAAGCATATACAACTCACTAGTGCCGTTCTTGTTTACAACAGCAGTAATAAAAGTATAGCGGATTTTCATCGAGTAGAAGGAACCTATTACTTTACAGCGGGTTTCTATTGAGTAGAAGGAACCTATTACTTTACAGCGGATTTCTATTGAGTAGAAGCAACCTGTTACTTTACAGCGGGTTTCTATTGAGTGGAAGCAAACTATTACTTTACAGCGGGTTTCTATTGAGTAGAAGCAACCTATTACTTTACAGCGGGTTTCTATTGAGTGAAGGAACCTATTACTTTACAGCGGGTTTCTATTGAGTAGAAGCAACCTATTACTTTACAGCGGGTTTCTATTGAGTGGAAGCAAACTATTACTTTACAGCGGGTTTCTATTGAGTAGAAGGAACCTATTACTTTACAGCGGGTTTCTGTTGAGGAGAAGCAAACTATTACTTTACAGCGGGTTTCTATAATTATCAGTCTATAATTGAATAACCAAAATTAAGTAATATATCGGATTGAGGTTTTGTTGGTATTCTGTAGAACCCAAATGACACGTTGAGCGAGCTGCGTGAATTGATTTGACAGAACTGAGCAAAGCAAATTCAGAGATAAATACTCATTTAATCACAAAACTACATGATGGGCTATCTGTACTTTACCCACCGCTAGTATCAAAATCCAATTTTTAGCATTATAAACCATTATATATGCCACTGAGCCATTGGGGGGAGGTTCGAATTGAGGTAAAAGAAGTGGTAATTATAGTGGACTATCCTTCATCAAATTATTTGGGTGTTTTTGTTTAACAGATGTGAATGTACTTGTGTTAACTGTTGTTAAGCAGAAAGCTATACACTGGGCTATCTGTACTGTGCCTACCAAATATAATAAGAACCGATTTTTAGCGTTCTGATTCCTGACACTTGCCTCTGAGTCACTTACATCGAAGTCTCTGATAATTTTTCTGAACATGATACTAATTATTTATAAATTATAATAATTTTTACCCACTTTTACTAAGTTTGATTACGTGATAGTACGTTTTTTACATACTATAGTAATTTGTTATGCATGACAGTAATTTGTAGCTGGATGTTTTATCGATAAAAGAAGAAAAAACGTTTCTAAGATACCTATTAACGATGTCGTGCATGCGATAGAGGTTACGTACCCACCAAAACATTGTGAAATATGAATAATCTAACGTATACCAATATCAATATAAAAGTTTTTGTTTCCATCTTTTCGATTCGTCAGTATATCTAAAATATTTTCACGCTAAAACTTGGGTTTTGATACCTGATGTGGACAGAGCATAGATAACTCGTGTAGCTTTGTGCTTAATAACGAACACTGTTTAATGTCGGTTTTCAAAATATTTAGAGCGCGCAGGTAATGAGCGTGTATTTTCACGTATATGTTCGTATATCCGTATTCCATATACAAGCTTGTGAATATGGAACCACTTATGTCCCAGTGTGTTTATGTTTTATGTGTTTTACGCTTACAAGCAAAATAATAGGTATTTTTTGTGCGTGAAAAACATCCAACAATATATATACGGCCCACAACCATTAACGTTTAGTCAATCTACAACAAGAAAAAACGAGAAAGGAAATTATATATTATGAAGAAGACGAATGGTTGTGCTACTTCTGTCCATTAACTGGTAAATACAGTGGTAAGTTCACGTCTTCTCGTTTGTAATGTTATATAGCCAGGAAGTGCCTGGGGGATAGCCTGTTCTTGATGTATCATGAATTTATTGATGTGAGGTCGCACATTTTCACTTGCATTGTATAATATATACCCATTAGAAGTGATGGAAGCAATCTATTAGCCAAAGAAAACATACTTTGCTGGAAGGTACGTCAGCTAAGCCTGTTTTGTTTTCTTTTTTTTTTTTTTTTTTATTGTAAGGTACATTTTTTTTCTTGGGTAATTAGCTTCGATTCACAGCGATGACGCAGAACAATCAAGATTGTTGTTAATATAGTTTTAGTGATACCTTAATATAAGATATACATTTGGATGAAAGTACAACACTTTTAAAAATACTCATTTATTAATTTAAAATACAAGAAATAATGAGGCTGTTTATGTGTGAAATGGAAAAAGTTGGAATTTTCAACTTGAATGATATCACTGTTCTTATATGACATACGAGTTAAAGGACCAGGTCAGAGATCCCTATGACTCGGGAAGAACCGTACCTAATTTTAATTACTGTCAAAAGGAAGGGAAAGCAGACAGTAGCCCTGTCGCCACAAAGACGTTTTTTGCGTTTTCGAATCGAATAAATGCTACTTTTATAAGAGTCCAGAGCGGAAAGTGCGTGAAATGGCTGTAATCGGATATTTTTCATTTGTGATTTGTTATGCTCTTTGTTATTGCTGACATTAAATCAATACATACTGCATTAGTTCACTCAAGATGGCTAAAATTTAACATTAAAGAGTATCTTGTTTCTATTTAAATTTTTTGACAATAGATAGAATTGAAAACGTGGTAGTAACCTATACATTTCACTGATAATTAGCTATTGTATCTGTTTAGCTAATTCATGAATTATTTATTTTGTATAATTGATATTTATTATATTTTCTTTTGCTGTTCTTTTCTAAAACCATATTGGAATGATTGTTTTGTGTTAATAAATTCCGGCTGTTTTCACTTGTTTGACACATAAGTGTAA